TGCCACCACCACCAGGTGGAAAGTCATTGTAAGTGGAGGAAGTAGCTGTTCCAAACACCATCTCCTATAATAAAGGTGAAAGGGCAAATTACTGCTGGGCGTGGTGGCTCATGCCTGTAATCCCAGCACTTTGGGAGGCCGAGGCAGGCAGATCACGAAGTCAGGAGATCGAGACCATCCTGGCTACGGTGAAATTGTCTCTACTAAAAACACAAAAAATTAGCCTGGCATGGTGGCGGGCGCATGTAGTCCCAGTTACTTGGGAGGCTGAGGCAAGAGAATGGTGTGAACCCGGGAGGCAGGGCTTGCAGTGAGCCGAGATCGTGCCACTGTACTCCAGCCTGGGAGACAGAGTGAGACTCCGTCTCAAAAAAAAAAAAAAGAGAGAGGGCAAAGCATCATTCAAATTTTTGTTATTTATGTTATCGCAATAGAATCCTTCAAATTCCTGACAGTTATAAAGTTGAGCTGTCAACAACAAATGTATTCATAATCTCTTCAGTACAGCTCCCAGCCTATCAGATACACTGGAGTGAGATATAGAAGGCAGAAGTAAGCCCGGGCGCGGTGGCTCACGCCCGTAATCCCAGTGCCTTGGGAGGCCAAGGTGGATGGATGACCTGAGGTCAGGAGTTCGAGACCAGCCTGGCCAACATGCCGAAACCCCGCCCACTAAAAATACAAAATTAGCCAGGCGTGGTGGTGGTCGCCTGTAATCCCAGAGACTCAGGAGGCTGAGGCAGAAGAATAGCTTGAACCCGGGAAGCAGAGGTTGCAGTGAGCCAAGATCACACCACTGCACCACTCCAGCATGGGTGACAAAAGCAAGACTCCGTCTCAAAAAAATAAAAAATAAATAAGGCAGAAGTGAATTAGCAAGCACCATTCAGTCACTAGTTTTATGTGGCAGCAGCAATGGCCAGACTCATGCATGGTGTGGCAGTTCTCTGTGGATCATAATTGTTTTGAAATTACTCTCTTAGTGTCCTGGTTCTGTGATGTGGCTTTGGAACTTGTTCCTGAAAGCTCAACCAGAATCGACTTCATTAGCCTTCCAATGATTCTGTATTCTCTGAATGAACGTATTATTATTATTGTTATTATTACTTTTAGACAGAGTCTCACTCTGTTACCCAGGCTGGAGTGCAGTGGTACAATCATAGATCCCTGCAGCCTTGAACTCTTGGGCTCAAGGGATCCCCATCTCAACCTTTCAGATAGCTAGGACTGGTTGGGCGAGGTGGCTCACCACGTCTGTAATCCCAGCACTTTGGGAGGCCAAGGCGGGTGGATCACTTGAGGTCAGGAATTCGAGACCAGCCTGGCCAACATGGCAAAACCGTATCTCTACTAAAAATACAGAATAAATTAACCGGGCGTGGTGACACATGCCTGTAATCCCAGCTACTCAGGACGCTGAGGTAGGAGAATAGTTTGAGCCTGGGAAGCGGAGGTTGCAGTGAGCCAAGATTGCGCCACCACACTCCAGCCTGGGCAACAGAGCAAGACTGTCTCAAAAAAAAAAAAAAAAAAAAAAAAAAAAAAAAGATAGCTAGGACTCTCGCCATGCTGTCCAGGCTGGTCTCGAACTCCTGGCCTTAAGCAGTCCTCCTGCGTCAGCCTCTCAAAGTGCTGGGATTACAGGCATGAGTCACCACACCTGGCCCAAAATAAATTTATTTTTGTTTAGCTAGAATGGATTCTATTCTCTACCAACTGAACCCAAAATAATAAACCAAACAGGGCAAACCCCCTCCCTCTTGGGTAGGTTTATACTACTGTGTTAGTTTATATTACTAACTCATAACAAAGTGTTGTTTTGTTCTGTGATTACTATATTCACTGATAACCAAACTTCAGTTTTTTGACCCAAATATATAATCATTTACTCTCTACTTGGAAAAACAGTGTGATTCTTTGGTGTTATCCATTGATGTGATTTCTGGAAGCTAAGTAGCCTGGAATGACCCTCCAGATTCCCTTCAACTCTGTAGTTCTCACCTACCATATCCACTCTTAGAATAAATGCCATTACTATATGACTTTCATAGGAAGTTTCCTTCCAGAGGAAACTACCATTCTCTCAATTAGAAATGGTGGTAGAACCTTGAAATCCTCAATGTTGCATCAACCCTTTTAAAATAACATTTAACATTAGGCTTTTTCTTTAATTGCAGAAAACTTACCAAGTAATTCTGGAGACAATTCAAAAATAAAAGTATATTCAAAAATTCACTACCAACCACAAAATTCTAACATGCAAAGCAGAAGCAAAAACATCTTTATATCCCTAAATTCCAAAGCACAAAGTTGGATGTCAGAAGACAACATTTTCCTATTGGCCTGTAACATAACCAACATGCTTGTTTCTGAGTATTTAGAAGGATCCAGGAGGTCCCAGCTGGAATGATTGATCAAGAATCTAAGAAAGGCTGGGCGCAGTGGCTCATGCCTATAATCCCAGCATGCTGGGAGGCCAAAGCAAGTGGATCCCCTGAGGTCAGGAGTTCGAGACCAGCCTGGCCAAACATGGTGAAGCCCCATCTCTACTAAAAATACTAAAATTAGCCAGGCATGGTGGTGTGTCACTGTAGTTCCAACTACTTGGGAGGCTGAGGCAGGAGAATTGCTTGAACCCGGGAGGCAGAGGCTGTAGTGAACTGAGATCATGCCACTGCACTCCAGCCTGGGCAACAGAGTGAGATTCCGTCTCAAAAAGAAAAAAAAAAGGAAAAAAAAAGCGTCTAAGAAAAACATAGGCAAAGGTTAAGGATCTAGGCATTCTGGGAAAGAGCAATTAGTACGTGGCACACGTGACTTGGGAAGCTACTCAGAGACCAAAACAACAACAAAAACCCATACAAACAAAAGAATCTGCTATTATTATAAACTGGTATCACAGCCAGGTGTGGCAACCCATGCCTGTAATCTCAGCACGTTGGGAGGTCAAGGCAAGAAGACTGCTTGAGGCCAGTAGTCCCAGACCATCCTGGGCAAAATAGTGAAACCTGTCTCTCAAAAAAAAAAAATTACCTGGGCCTGGAGATGCACACCTATAGTCTCAGCTATTCAGGAGACTAAAGCAGGAAGATTACCTGAGCCCACGATGTTAAGGCTACAGTGAACTATGATCATGCCACTACACTCCAGCCTGGGTCCTGGGTGACAGAGTGAGACTCTGTCTTAAAAAATAAAAAATAAAAAGGCCGGGCGTGGTGGCTCACGTTTGTAATCCCAACTTTGGGAGGCCAAGGCGGGTGGATCACTTGAGGTCAGGAGTTCGAGACCAGCCTGGCCAACATGGTGAAACCCCATCTCTACCAAAAATATAAAAAATTAGCTGGGTGTGGTGGCATGTGCCTGTAATCCTAGCTACTCAGGAGGCTGAGGCAGGAGAATCGCTTGAACCTAGGAGGCGGAGGTTGTAGTGAGCCAAGATAGTGCCATTGCACTCCAGCCTGGGCAACAAAGCAAGACCCTGTTGAGGGAAAGGAGAGGGAAAGGAGGGGGAAAGGAGGGGGAAAGGAGGGGGAAAGGGAGGGGGAAAGGAGGGGGAAAGGAGAGGGAAGGGGAGACAAAAATTAAAAAATAAACTGATACCCCTAAAAGACATCTCTTATATTCCCAGTGGACAAATTTAAGGAAAATTAAATCTGAAAGGTGTTTAAAAAAAAAAAAAACCACTGCTGTAGCCATTTCATTCTGCTTCACAGCAACCAAGTTGAAAGAGGTTTTTCTAAATATACAGTTTTAAGCAGAAGTTGGCTAAAATTCAAGGTTCTCTAGTGAGAGAGGTCCCTCTGTTACCACTGTCCCTCAGGTCTTTCCTAATATTCAAAGTTGGGCTTCCTGAGCAACCCAAGACCTGCCATCTCTTGCCATATCTAAAAGGTAAATTTTCTCATTTTATCCCAGGGACAAAAGAAACTTAAGATAACTTTAATGTGAGACCCTTCCCATAAGCAGAAAATAAAAGCAATTAACAACAACAACAACAAAGACCTACAATATTTTCTAGGATTTGAGGCCAGAAAAGTAGAGTTGGTTGGTATCAACACAGTTCTTCCCTTCAGGGCTTCAGGGTTTATTTCCATTCTTAAACTCTTTAATGAGTACAAACTATTCGAAAACATCTCGAGGCAGATTTTGCTTTCCCAACCATTTCATCCTGTCCTTCTACCTTAAGCCCTGATGAAGAGATTTCAAAAACTCCCTTTGAGTGTATTAGAAAAGCTTAGTAACTGACTTTACGACTACAACTCAAAAATGTTTACAAGATCTTTAGATAACAGTGTATGTGCAGAAAGATGAGGAAACCTCTGACCAAGAAGTCTAGACACAGATCAAGTGCCCAGGAGGGCAGAGCCAGTCCTTAAATATAGACACCATGCCTCCTGTGTTTACAGGGATAGCTCATAGTTACAGCCATCAGGGTTGGATTGCCTCTGAAAGCAGGTCCTACAAACTCCCAAAGGACAGGGCCTAGCAGTATACCCCACTCTCACCACCATCCTATGAAGAAAGTTCTAAGAGTTAAGGTTATCCCACAGGTTACCAGGTAGATTTCCAAATGGCCTCAGGGAAAGTGGAATTCTGCCAACAGTAAAGGCAACTCCCCAAACAGTGCCAACGCTAAGAGGATCAAGGGAAGGATTTTGATATGCACATATATGCATGGATAAAAGAGTTAAGCTATGTAACATGAAACACCAAAAATATACTTGCTGGTACATCAAGAGTTTCTCACAAACACTCTGAAGTTAAAATCTAAAATGCTCCATTTTTTACCCAAAATATAAACTACTCAACCTCATTTTGTGTTATATACTAACACAGAAATGAGTCTTTTAAAAAGGTTGGCTGCTATCCTAAAGCAAACAGTTTATGTTTTACACATAAAAAATGTATTTGCATAAAAGTCTTTATGGAACTAAAAAATATGTTCTCTACAACACCAAGGATCATTACAATATTTTAAATATTAATATACATTTCTTCTGTCAGAAATAATAAAACTTTATTATATCAGTATTAAACAACAAAACCCTGTTGACATACATATAAAATGTTTTACAAACAGAATAACCTACATATTCAAAACACTTTCAACAAATTTTTCACTTTTATTTTTTGGGGTATTGTACAGACTCAAATGGATTGAGGATTGCTTCAATTAGGACAATCATTTTTTGTAATTCCAGTCTTTACAACTTAGTATGTATGCAATCGTACTGTTGATGAAATAGAAAATGATAATATTTTCCATCTCTTAGTAATCTTGTAACGGAACAGAAAACTATGGTGTGTTTGCATTTCTTGCAGGAATAGCTGTTATAAAGAAACATTAGGGCTTGCTTCTTCTGTCATTGATATCTGAATGCTTTTAATATGCTCATCTCAAGTGTTGAATAATGGCCTACTCTGTTTACCTGGGATGTGCTACTTCTTGAACACGAGCTGATGATGTGTAGCCTTTCACATTAATGGATGAGGTAGCTCAACCAATGTAATCATCAGTGCTTGAAGTGAGGGGGAAAAGGAAGAAAACAGAAGCATTTTTCCTATCAACCAAAATGCACATCCTTCTCACCCATCCATCATACAGCTTTGGACAGCTAAGAGGAAAGAAGACATACAGACTAGAATATGATTCCTGAGAGAGCAAATGAGAGACAATGGATGAAAACGCCTCACTTAAATGTGGTTCAGTACTCAAAATTCTGCAGTCAGGTCGTCACATTTTCATTTACATTTCTATTTTCTAACTTTCTAAATTACAAGAATCATTTCAACAGATACCACACAACACATATATACAGGATATAGTACAGCACTGGGCATCAACTTAAAATACTCATGAGGTACACATGAATGTAAGGCACTTTCGCGGTTTACAAAAGTGAATGCCTCAAAGTTAGATATTTATCAAAAATGGAAAAATATCCCTACACAACTTTATAGGAGCCCTGAAAAATCAAGTAGGTATGAATCATTAGCAATCTTGGCCAACATTTTGAGAGTCTTAGTGTGACTAAAGATCAGAGATATAATATATAAATAAACTTAAAATTAGAGTTCTATACATCAGTGTCAGGATTCTAAAACTGCTCTCATAAAAATCTCTCTCTTCTAAGTTATTTCAGTTCTCAGCCACAGAGACTGAAGAGCAAGACAACTACTCAGTGTACCACTGTTTACATTTCATGATGATACCATACCACATCAGTTATAAAGAGACTGAAAATAATAAAGGTTTTGAGTTTGTTTTGTTATTTCTGACAAATATTATAACTAAGATAGAAACTTATTCAAACTACTCAAAAATGTAAATTTTATGTATTTTCTTGAAATCATGAATTTTTAATTTCTAAATACAAATATTGTTGCTCTAAATAATGTGAGTTTTGTGACTCTTCGAAATTAAAAGAATGCAACCTACAATATGATGTATTTCCTTGTCTGTGAGAGACCAAACGAGCTTAGGTAGTATAATGCTAAAAAACTGATTTAAGGAAATAACCCATTTTTATGCCATCGTTCTCCAAAATTCTTGAAAAGCTAAATCTTCTCTAGGTCATAGTTGGTAAGGACAGGTCATTAACAAAGTCAGGGATTCAGGGCTGGGTGCAGCGGCTCACACCTGTAATCCCAGCACTTTGAGGCTGAGGCGGGTGGATCACCTGAGGTCGGAATTCAAGTCCACCCTGGCCAACATGGCAAAACCCCATCTTTACTAAAAATACAAAAAAATTAGCCAGGCATGGTGGTGGGCACCTGTAATCCCAGCTACTCGGAAGGCTGAGGTAGGAGAATCGCTTGAACCTGGGAGGCAGTGGTTGCAGTGAGCCAAGATTTCACCATTGCGCTCAAGCCTGGGCAACAAGAGTGAAACTCCATCTAAAAAAAAAAAAAAAAAGTCAGGGATTCAGGACAGATAAAACTGTATCTTGCCTCTTTATTCACAAAGTAAATAAGCATGGAATTTATATTTTGTTGTTGTTTTTATTTTTTGAGTCAGGGACTGACTTTGTTGCCCAGGCTGAGGTATAGTGGCATGAACACACCTCACGGTAGCCTTGACCTCCCGGGCTCAAGTGATCCTCCTGCCTCAGCCCCTCAAGTAGCTGGGACTACAGGCACACACCATCATGCCCAGCTAATTTTTGTATTTTTTGTAGAGATGGGGTTTCATTCACCATGTTGCTTAGGCTGGATTTATTTATTTATTTATTTTTTGAGATAAGATCTCGCTCTATCATCCAGCCTGGAACGCAGTGTCATGAACATAGCTCATTGGAGCCTGGACCTCCTGGGTTCAAGTGATCCTCTCACCTCAGCCTACATAGTAGGCTACATAGTAGCTGGAACTACAGAGGCACCACACCCAGCTATTTTGTAGAAACAGCGTTTTGCCATGTTGCCAAGGCTGGTCTCAAACTCCTAGGCTACAATCTACCTGCCTTGGCCTCTCAAAGTGCTGGCCACGGTCCCCAGCCTAACATTTTGAAAATTATTATTATGTTTTCTCTTGCTCTGTCACCCAGGCTGGAGAGCCAGCTCACTGCAACCTCTGCCTCCTCGGTTCAAGTGATTCTCCTGCCTCAGCCTCTCGAGTAGCTGGGATTACAGGCATGTGCCACCATGCCCAGCTAATTTTTGTAGAAAATTATTATTTCTATGTTATATCATTTTAACAATTCAGTGGTTATCTTTGACCTAAAAATGAAATTTTAAAAACCATTTTTTAAATTAAAGAATGCAATTAGTACACTCTTGTTGCTGACATGGAGATTACAGTGCATACCTAGCTCCTTTCATTATTTACAATTCAAATCTTTGTTGTACTTCATCTGCAATCATTCCAGAAATTGCAAGGGAAGAAGTAGCAGCAGGGGAAGGTGCATTTCTCACATGAAGAACACGATTTCCAATATTCCCAACTCCTGCATCAAATACAAAATCTTCTACCAGATTTCCATCTCTATCCAGGGCTTGGGCTCTTACTCCAGCTGGGCCCCTGCAAAAGTGAAAGCTGGGAGTCAGCTGACTCAAAGACATAGGATACTTTACACGTCAGTGTTTCCAAAGAGTCTTAAAGCAATATTCTTCTAAATGCACAATTACATGGAAACCTAATGAGCTTATGTTTAACCAAAGGCTGTCAGTTGTAGCCTGTCAAACCTATATTGTTAATTTAGAGCCTAAAACCTATTATATAACAATAGTATAATAAATGCTTATCAAAGAAATACATAAAAACAAGTAAGTTACTTATCAATGTCTCCTCTTTCCAAAGGTAGTAGGTAAATCCACACTTAACTAGAACAGGTATATTTTTATTTAAATTTATAGAATGAATTTATTATAAAAATCAATCAATGGCTACAACGAGCCTCATCTGAGTAATACAAATCAATGAAAGCAGAGGTTATGTGTCAGTTGCATTCCTGTATCCTATTCTACTTATTTTTGTATTTTTAAAATTCACACGGTTAAAATTTATGGACAGAAATATTTGCAAATGGCAACAAGTTCTTGTTTTGCAGTTTGTTTTTAACAGTTTACTCTTCAATATCAGGATCATCTTCAATTTAAAAAGATGATAGGAAAAGCATAAAAATGAAGTAATTTAGCGGCATATTAATAAAATGAGAATTTTTTTTTTTTAAATTGAGATAGAGTGTCGATCTGTTGCTCAGGTTGTGTATACAACCTCGCCTGGCTAATTAAAATTTTTTTTTTTTTTGTAGAGACGAGGTCTCACTATGTCACCCAGGCTGGTCTCAAACTCCTGGCCTCAAGTGATCCTCCCACCTTAGCCTCCCAAAATGCCAGGATTATAGGTGTGAACAACTGTAAAGACACTGATAGTCTTTATTACTTAAAATTCTATTTTATAACATTTGAGCTCACTGATTTTTGTTGTTTTTTAAAACAGTTAAAATTTACAGATGAAATTTGAATCCAATGTTTTTGAACTACAAAAAAGCACCTCTTATGAAACTTGTCCAAGGAAGCCCAGTGTGAAAAATTCTATCTTATACACACCAGCAAGTACTTGCAGAAGATGCAAAGAACACTATGAGGGCACTGCCCTCTAAGACTTCAGCTGGCTGAAGAGAGATAATAGTAATAGCTATTATTTAGTAAGTGCTTACTCTGTGCTAGGAATTACCTCATTTAATCCTCAAAACAACTGACACAGTTTATATTTAACAGCAAAGAAACAAAGAGAGATTAAGTAACTTGCCTGAAATCACAGAACTATACTACTCATTCTTAGGTAAATAAGAATTATAACAATAAGAGTGAAAGGTTGTATGATAAATATAAGTGATCTTCCCTATAGAATCCTGCAGGGAATCTGGACAGGAGATTTTTCAGCTGTAAGAATTTCCGAGTAAGAATCAGATATGGGAGCAGGCGGAGCAAGATGGTGGAACAGAAGCCTACAAACATTGGTTCCCCTGTTAGAACACCAAATTTTTAACTATCTGCACACAGAAAAGCACCATCACAAGAACCAAAAACCAGGTAAGCAATCACAGTGGCTAGTTTTGACTTCATATCATTGAAAGAGGCATTGAGGAGGGCACAAAAGATGGTCTTGCATCACCAATGCCATCCCTTCCTCACCCCCTAGCAGTGGCCACGCGGTGTGGAGACAGAACCTATGCACTTGGGAAAGGGAGGGCACAGTGGCTGGGAGCCTTTACATTGAATTTAGTGCTGCCTTGTCACAGTGGAGAATAAAGCCGTGCTGGGCTCAGCCAGCGCCAGCACATGGAGGGAGCATTTGGACCCGCCCTAGCTAGACAGAAAGCATCCATCCCAGTGGCCAGAACTTGAGTTTCCCTGCAAGCCTCACCACCGTGGGCTGAAATACTCTGGGGTCCTAATCTTGAAAGACAGTCTAGGGCACAAGGACTCCAATTCCTAGGCTACTAGCACTAGGCTGGGCTTATAGTAATTAGACTAGGGTAGCATGTGATCTAGGGAGATACCAGCTGACATAGCTAAAGGAGTGCTTGCATCACCCATGCCCCAAACCAAGGCAGCTGCAATAGAAGTGACTCCTTTCTTCTGCTTAAGGAGCAAAGAGCAAAGAGTAAAAAGGACTGTCTTACATCTTGGATTCCAGCTCAGCCACAGTAGGATACGGCACTGGGCAGAGTTGTCAGGCCCGCATTATAGGCCCTAGGTCCTGAACAACATTTCTTTTTTTTTTCGAGACAGCATCTCGCTCTGTCGCCCAGGCTGGAGTGCAGTGGGTTCACCTCCTGGGTTCACGCCATTCTCCTGCCTCAGCCTCCTGAGTAGCTGGGACTACAAGCGCCTGCTATCACGCCCGGCTAATTTTTTTTTTGTATTTTTAGTAGAGACGGGTTTCGCCGTGTTAGCCAGGATGGTCTCGATCTCCTGACCTCGTGATCCACCCGCCTTGGCCTCCCAAAGTGCTGGGATTACAGGCGTGAGCCACTGCACCCAGCTGCTCCTGAACAGCATTTCTATACCCACCCTGGGCCAAAAGGGAACCTACTGCTTTGGAGGGAAAAACCCAGTCCTCGCAGGATACATCACCTGCTGACTAAAGAGCCCTTGGGCCCTGAATAACCATCAGTGATAACCAAGGAGTGTGTCATGGGCCTTGGATGAGACTCTGAGATGTGCTGGTTTCAGGTGTGACCCAGCACATTCCCAGCCGTGGTGGCTACAGTGAAAGACTCCTTCTATTTGAGAAAAGCAGAGAGAAAAGTAAAGGGGACTTTGTCTTACACCTTAGGTACCAGCTCAGCCACAGTGAGGTAGAGCAACAAGCAGGTTCTTGGGGTCCCCAAGTCAAGGCTTACACTCTTTTTTGTTTGTTTGTTTTTGTTGTTGTTGTTGTTTTTTGAGATGGAGTCTCACTCGGTCGCCCAGGCTGGAGTGAAGTGGTGTGACCTCAGTTCGCAACCTCTACCTCCTGGGTTCAAGCGATTCTCCTGCTTCAGCCTTCCAAGTAGCTGGGATTACAAGCACACTCCACCACAGCCAGCTAATTTTTGTATTTTTAGTAGAGATAGGGTTTCACCATGTTGGCCAGGCTGGTCTCGAACTCTTGACCTCAGGTGATCTGCCCATCTTGGCCTTCCAAAGTGTTGGGATTACAGGCGTGAGCCACCGCGTCCGGCCCAGGCCTACACTCTTGAACAGCATTTCTAGAACTACCCTGGGCCAGAGGGAGCCCACTGCCCTGAAGGGTAACTCCCAGGCCAGGCAGCTTTCACCACAAGCTGATGGAAGAGCCCTTGGGCTTTAAGTGAATATTGGTGGTGGCCTGGCAGAAACCCTGTGGACCAAAGGTGGTGGCAGCCACAGGGAGTGGCCCCTCTGCCTGTGGAAAGGGGAGGGAAGAGTGAGAAGAACTTTGTATTGTGGTGTGAGTGGTAGTTATCCATAGTAGAACAGAACATCAGGTAAACTACTAAGATATTTGACCCTAATCTCTGGCTTCCTGACAGCATCTCTGGACATGCCTGGGGCCTGAGGAAGCTTACTGCCCTGAAGGGAAGGGCCCTGGGCAAGAGCCAGTGCTGGGCTGGCTTCAGGTCTGACCCAGTGCACTCCCAGTGGTGGTGGCCACAGGAGTGCTTGCATCACCATAACCCCAGTTCCAGGGGGTTTAGCACAGAGAGAAAGAGACTCCATTTATTTGGGAGGAAGTAAGGGAAAAGAACAAGAGTCTCTGCATGGTGATCCAGAGAATTCTTCTGGATCTTATCCAAGACCACTAAGGTGGTACCTCTACATGTCTACAAAAATAACAGTGTTATTGGGCTTGTGACCCAAGTTCCTTTGACTACCTGGAAAGCATTCCCAAGAAGGACAGGCATAAACAAGCTCAGACTGTGAAGACTACAACGAGTACCCAACTCTTCAATGCCCAGACACCAAAGAACATCTACTAGCATCAACACCATCCAGGAATGTATAACCTCCTCAGATAAACTAAATAAAGCACCAGAGACCAATCCTGGAGAAACAGAGATATATGACCTTTCTGACAGAGAATTCAAAATAGCTGTTTTGAAGAAACTCAAAGAAATTCAAGACAATACAAAAGGAATTCATAATTCTTTCAGATGAATTTAACAAAGGGATTGAAATAATTTAAAAGAAACAAATTCTAGAAATGAAAAATGCAACTGACATGCTGACGAATGTATCAGAGTCTCAATAGCAGAACTGATCAGGCAGAAGAATTTGTGAGCTGAAAGACAGGCTATCTGAAAATACATAGTCAGATGAGACAAAAGAAAAAAGAATAAAAAACAATGAAGCATGCCCACAAGATCTAGAAACCATTCTCAAAAGGGTAAATCTAAGAGTTATTGGCCTAAAAGAGGAAGTACAGAAACATATAGCGGTAAAAAGTTTATTCAAAGGGATTATAACAGAGAACTTCCCAAACCTAGAAAAAGATATCAACATTTGAGTACAAGAAGATTATAGAACCCCAAGTGCATTTAATCCAGAGAAGACTACCTCAAGCTATTTAATAATCAAACTCCCAAAGGTCAAGGATAAAGAAAGAATTCTAAAAGCAGCAAGAAAAAAGAAACAAATAATATACAATGGCACTCCAATACGTCTGGCAGCAGACTTTTCAGTGGAAACCTTACAGATCAAGAGAGAGTGGCATGACATGTTTACAGTGCTGAAGGAAAAAATGCTTTTACTCTAAAATAGTATATCCAGTGAAAATATCTTTGAAGCGTGAAGGAGAAATACTTTCCCAAACAATAGCTGAGGGATTTCATCAACACTAGATATGTCCTACAAGAAATACTAAAAAGAGTTCTTCAATCTGAAAGAAAAGGATGTTAATGAGCAAGAAGAAATCATATAAAGGTACAAAACTTCCTGGTAACAGCAAGCACACAAAAAAACAAAGGATAGTATAACACTGTAATTGTGGTGTGTAAACTTCTCATCTTACATAGAAAGACTAAATGATGAATCAATCAAATAAAATAA